TTGTTCCTGGAAGTATATATATATAGTAGCGTGTCACTTTGCAAAGTTGATTAAGGTGCATCCCTCTGAAACTTCAACAACTTAACAGAGAGCCAACTAATGAGAACAAAACAGAAATATTAAGAAAGTTATATACAAATACATATTTACAGGGTATAACTCTCTTTTGACCCGACCTGGTATTATTTGTATTTGTCTTTCTCAATATATACAATGGCGTACAAAAGTCTCCTGCCAGTACAGATTAATAACTTCATTCAGCTTTAGACTGCTTATGCATAGAAAGATACACAAATCTTTTAAGAGATGCGTTAAAAACTGCTCTGTATTAAAAGACAAATACTTTTCTTTTTTTATTGTAATCAATTTAAAATAACGATACAGTGGCTGGAGACTTGTGCACGCCACTGTATGTTTCGTTATCATTAGTTCCAGCTCTAGTGCACACTGAAATGGGGTTATTTCAGTAGAAAACATCTCATATATTAGGATTCCAGCACTTTTTTTTCTAAAAAAACATTAAGTTTTGATCCAATCATGAGTGCTAAGTTGTAGGATTTGTCCCGAAAAATCTCTTCGGACTTTTTTCAATTTGTTGCAATCTTCAATTTTCTAGAATCTTAAATTAATAAATCTTGATTTAATAAGTATCATCTGCGCTTTTTTATTTATTACGATGGATGGCCTTCGAACATGAGAAGCTAGATCTTTTGCAGATTATTAGTACCTTCATAAATTTTATTGTGTTTGTTAAATGAACATAAATAATGATTTGAAACAAGGAAGCTATCAGATACAATGCGTTAATTTATTTAATGATATTTTGATACGGGTACGCGAAAGCAAAACCTTAAAATAACGCATGCTGGTAGATAAGGATTTATTTTTATTATTACTAAATAAAGAATAGATTTCATCGTTTTGGTTTTAGATATAATATTTTTTTTCCATTTTGCTTTTCAAGAAGAAAACATACAATTCATTTTTATTATTAATTTCAAACGCTCTTATAAATCAAATTTAATACAATTATGTCTTCTTTTTATATTTAAAGATTTCAGTTTAACTAAAAATATATCCCAATAGCAAAAACATACTTCTAAAATTCGGAATGATGTTAATATTTTAATGCACAAAATTTTTGCAAGTATTAAATTTCTGTTTAAAATCAAGCATTTAAAATTAATTTAAAATATAAATATTTTTAAAATATAAATGCACTTAAATGCACTTGCTGCAGTATTGATATGGACTAAGCGATCCAATATTTTATCGTTTTGTAAACTCAAATGTTTCCCAATAAACAAACCATTTTGGAATTATTAACATTAAATATTTAAACTTAATCTTCTAAAAATATTGTTTTATTCGACATGTTTTAAAAAGTTTGCATCTGAAATATATCTTTCTTTCAAGAATTACACTGTAAAACATAAAACAAATATCGTTGAGTATGATGTTTCATAAGCAATAATATTTTTTCACATTCTTAACAGTTTAAGAAACTTCAAACACAGGCGAATTTTGAGCAAAAAATAAGAAATTTGATCCACTCTCTCCCCGTATCACTTTATAATCTTAAATAATTAATTTAGATCTACTTTATTAGTGATAAAAGCATTACAAGTCGAAGATGATTAAATGAAACTGGAATAACATTAACCCTCAACTTTGTTCAAAATAACCAATAAAATGCGCAAGTGTGTGGGGGTTTTGATCACTTTTAAAGGGGATTTTAGAATGATTTAAGACAAAATTCTGTTGTTTCTGCTGCGTTATGTAAAGAAATAAGTTTCGATGTTTGAAGCTTTTAATTTTGCGGCAGTTATTATTTTGCAAAACATAAAAAGATATCGGTTTATTGAAACTAATTGGTGGTAGTATAACTTAAATCATAGTTTTAAGAATCATCCTCCAAACGTAAAATTAATGAATTTCAAACAAAAAAGAAAGCAAAATATGTGAATGATTTTCACATGGTGATTGAGAAACCATTGGGTTACTTTTCGAAGACACTTTTATGATTTGAAATAACATTTGCTATCCAGTAATAAACTGTTTTCATAATTGCAAAGTTTGTAATAGTTCTTCATTTTAACCATAAATATTTGATCAAATCTTGCCTAACTCTTGTTATATTCAAATGAAAATCATGCAAAAATATTAAAAACAAACCTATAAGTTATAGTATAAAACGATAGTTTTTTATTTTTACTTTATTTTTTATAATCTTATATTTTTTTGTTTTCTTTTACGATTGAAAAGTTACTTCATCATGTTCAGTCTTGTACAAAAATGCAAGACTTGAGAATAGTCTTTTTCGTACTTAATGATTTTAATCTAAAATAATTACTCCAAATTGACGTTTTTCTTTTTTTAAAAAAAGAACCTTTAATAGGTTTACTTAATACTTTAAATATTTGTCCATGTTTCAATTCAGTCTTTTATCTGAGCTTAACCCTCTGAGTATTAAACTCAGATTTTTCCAAACATGGAAATCGTTTTTTTCCTCTTATATTAAAAACCCGGTTTTCTGTTGTTGTTCTATGGGAAAATAGTGAGTAGCAAGATAATTTCTGTCCAATTTTTCCTAGGAGCTCAATGTTTAACGGGTGTTTGTCACAACTGTCACTAAACCTAATAAAGCTTATAGAGGAATATTTAAAAATGGAACCATTCATCAAACTTCTAACTATAACTTTATAAGACCCACTGTGAGAATTTTCATTCTAAAATTATTGCAAAATAACCAGCAGCAATCTGTCCGATTAACCGTAAAGTTTATGGTAAAGAACATTTTCTACCTTTACGTATTTGAAACTGTTTGCAACTAGTATGGTTATAAAACCATAAATACAAACTATGCGGTTTTTTAACCATTTACAACTAGCATAGTTTCAAATCCGTAAAAAATTTTTTACTGGATATTGGAACTGGGTTTTTCGATAGGTAATGGGCAATGGAGAGTGCAGAACACTGGCAATTCTTCTTGTCTTGAAGAGAAAGGAGGAAATATTGTGGTGTCAATGTTACGACTCAAACTCTCGATCCTCTCAGCTACAATATGCAAGCAATATGCAATATGCAAAGAACTAAGGGGCTTCAATAGGTGGCTATTGTTGATGATGTAAAATTCTGGTTGTTTAACAGTATTAGGGGAAAGCAATTAATAAAGGATTTTATCACAGTCATTATCTTAATTACCATCTTATTTATGGTTGTTTGATCGTTTTGTTTCTCACAGTTAACAGCTTGATTACCATGTTATTTATTGTTCTATGACTGTTTTGTTTGAATGTATTAAAATGCTAATGAAATAAATTGTTAAACCCTTTTTTCGAGAAATTTCTAACCGTGTATCATATGAAAATTTAAGGATCAGAACTTCGTGTGTTTTATTAAAGGAAGTTTTCTATTCATTTTTGAAAGAATAAATTTATTCATTTTTTATTTTCAGCACCCAGTGTCTTGGCGATATTCTAAAGATGGTTATAGACTTATAGGACATATGATCCTTAAAAAACCATGTAAGGAGAATATGGATACTTCTTCAGGAGCAGCTATGCTTGGCCTTAGGATAGTTGGAGGGAAAATACTTGAGTCTGGTCAAATGGGTGCTATTGTAGAAAAAGTTGTTCCTGGAAGTATTGCTGACACTCTAGGACGCATCAAAATAGGTATATAATATGTATTATTTTTTATAGCCATTATAATATTTGGTGTTATTGAATCAAAATGTATTTTAGGTTTCTCGGTCACCGCGATTTCTTCTTGCGTTGTTTCCCCACAATGTTCCCTTCCATTTCCTAATTGACAACTATGCTTTTTTCTTACTCTTTAAACTGTTCTGTTTTCATCATTTGCTTGTTTCTAAAAATTTGATTCCATGTTTGAGTGCTCAAAATATTTCTATTTTATCCCATATGAAATATATTTAGCAAATAAAGTTTCTTCAATTTAAATTAAATTTTTTTATCAAACGAACTAATTATTTAATCCCATTTTTTTGATTAACCTGATTAACCGGTTCTTATTAGGTAATAAACGATAGTCGTTCACAATAACCAAATGTGCCAGTTAAACTGGTTAATTTGTGAGTCTGCGTTGAATAAACTGGTTAAAATAAATAATTACTTCAAGTTTAAATACCATTGCCTGGTATACACTTATCAATACACTATTATTTACTTCACAGATGTTTTATTAAAGTTAAAAGTCGTTACCCGGTATTTTCTACGGTGATGCTCTTTTTAGATAAAAAAAATTACACACTGGTATACTTAAACGTTGCTAGGTCAGGAACTAGATGCAAGGGAGATTTTTCGGTTATTTTTAACAATAACCAAGGATTAGTAATAATACCCAATTACGTTAGTTGAAAATTAATATATTGATAATTTACCACATTAAACAGCAAATAATTAATATTTACCAAACTTCATTGGTAAATATTAATAAGGACCGGTTACTATGAATAATATTCATATTTCTCAGTTATTATTAATAACAACCTTAATTTATTACTTTGACCGTTGCGTATTTTGCCATGACTGTTATTAAGAAATGATAAGAATTGAAAATTTAATGACTATTCCCACTGGAAATCCATCAGAATATTTTCTCAACCCAAGAAACGTAACGCATGATCATATGTTGATTAAAGAAAACGAGGCCAGGCATCCCAAACATATCAAAGTGTAGGAAAATTTAAAAAAGGGAACTGGAAAAAATTGAAATGGCTAAACATCGGTTACTTAATGTCATACATATATACTATGTTTTTTTCCCACCAGGTCAGCATCATTTTATCTACTATCACAATATAATATCGTAATTAGCTGATTACATCAGAGCTGCCATTGACTCATTTACCCTTTTAATGTTGTTGGTGTCGTCAGCATAAAAGTAGAGGGAGTGCTATTGTTCTTTTTTCCAGTGGCGCCTTCTGTGCCTAAGAATTCGACTTCTGCCACAGCTATACGTCACACCCGTTTATGGCCTGGATCAATTCATGCATGCATTCATTCATCCACAGTTCGTAATTTTGACCTGAACCAGAAAATGATCAATCTCCAATTCAGTACCCACTGAGATGAATTTTTTTCATGGGGAAGTGGAGGACTTTGTGACCCGACAGATTTAACGTGCATCAGTTACCATTTACTGCATGGCCAGTCTTCGGCCGAATGGATTCGAACTCCCGTTCTCACGAATGTGAGTCCAGCGTCCTACCAACCAGGCTATCCCAGCCCACTCTTTTAATACTAATATTTAATATTTTTACATTGTCAAAATATTACTTACAATTGAAAAGGCTTTAAAAATTTTGTGGCACAATTAAGATAATAAAATGAAACTAACCGAAATATTTTATCTGAAAATGTATTTTTTATTTCTATAAAGGTGATGAAGTCTTAGAGTGGAATGGACGAAATTTGCAGAATAAATCTTATGAAGAAGTATTTGAAATTATTGCAGAATCTCGCCAAGAACCTCAAATAGAACTTATAGTTAATCGTCCAATGAGGTAATGAAAATTTTAATTTTTTTAACTCATGGTAAATATTACGTAATGCAGGAATAACATTATATCAAGATTTTTTTTAAAAAAAACATCGACGTTTAGAGATTATTTTATTCCTGCTAATTCTAATAGAAATTATATGAAATTTTATTTCTTCAAGCAAATAGAATTATTTGTGTATAAAACGCTTACATTTGAAACTAAGTTTTAAAAAAAATTTTTTTTATCAATAACTTTCACCATGAAGAATGTCTTGGCATAGGCTTGTTGAGAAGGTCAAGGCCCATCCTGGGCTGTCGTGCCAAAGAGAAGAAGAAGAAGACTTTTACTATATTAAAAAAAGCTTTCAGCTTTCAATTATTCAATTTTCCCTCCACCGCAGCACACCCAGCCGCCCTGAGTTTTCTCTTTCAGTACGTAAAAAAAATATTAAACTTTTGTCATCAAATGAATTTTAAATTTATCTGAAATTCATAATTTAGCCGACAGTTGTTATTTATAACAAAGCAAATTGATATTTGTTATTAGGAAAAAAAGCTTAGTTTTCTAAAAAAGAAAAAAACTAATTTGTGATCTAATTTTTAACTATTTTAAAACGAACTTCAACGCTGTACATACACATCACCCAACAATAGCCAAGTCCTTAACCCGCTTTTCAGGGCTCTATGCCATATAGTTTTTACCACGTGTCATGCGTCGTGGACAGCTCCTGAGCTGGTACCCCTTTCCCCAAACTTCCTCACCACAGCCTAGCCTCTCAAGCGCGACAGATTTAACGTGCACCATGCTGCGTAAACACACCGGTTGTTTTGACGGCTGTCAGTATCGAACTCGCCACACCCACCTCTTCTACCAGTGGGGTGAGTGACACATTTACGGACTGGGCCACCGGATTCAACAAATCAGAAATTAAAAAAAAAATTAATAACCTTTAAAAATATTTAAATAATGTGTTCGTTCTAAAGCCCAGGTAATTCTTCACGGTAAGTAGTTAATATAATTTGAATTATTGCTTTGCTTCAAGTGCTAGGCAATTTAACTATGACTTTTTCTTTTAACTTGGCGAAAACGCTATGAAGAATATTGTTATGTGGCATTTTGTGAATTTAGGTACATCCGCTTTTAAAACAGCACGAAGCTGTTTACAAAACATCTCTTCTTTGTAAAAGCTGTCTTATTTAATGTCTTGACTGAAAAAAAAATGTTTCGTGCATACAGCTAACTGTAATATGTTTTTAAGCTTAGACTTTTGAGCATTTTTGGTTCTTTCGTAGTCTTTTGTTTTCCTACCTATTTTAGTAAACTTACATGAGTAAGGAAGTCTGAAGCATTTTTCATTGATCTAATTAGTCATCTGGTGCGAGAATTGTCCTGCAATCATTGTTAATTGGTTTATTGAAAGCGTGTTTATTAATAATTGTTTTTCTTATTTCCTTCCAGAGATCTAAGAATAGATAGGGACCAGTCATTAAGGCGCCACACACACATAGGTGCTTCATCCTCTATGGCCGATAGAGGTAAGTTTTGTATTAGTTTATTATTTATTTTTAATATTAGTTTATTATAATAGTTTATTATTTATTAATTTATTCTTTTGTTTACAATTCCAAATAAATGTAAATCTGATTGTATATTTTTTTAATCCATCTTGCTTTAACAAAAGTGCAATTTTCTTATAAAATTCTCAAGAATATCAGTTTATACAGTGTGACCCTAAATTCACGCGTGAAGTAATTTTGCTAGAAAGTGCATATGGTTTTCAGCTAAATTTTTTAATTAATTCAAAAAGTTCACAGGGGTAGAATTATGTATGGAACAGCTGATCAGATTGTAAGAATGGGCATTCATGGTCACGTGCACGCACTTTTAAAAACAATTTTAGTGAACGTTCTGTGTAAATGTGATTGAATTGCTTTCATACTGTACTCAATTTCATCGTTCAAAAAGTTCATCATAAATATTTGTTGTCTAAACCTTAGACTTCACAAAACGTACCGAAAAAGAATATCCAACAGCATAAAACCCTATGATCTGAACATCTAACTCTGACCAACAAAGCAGGAAATTTCTAGACTAAGAAATGACTTAATTTGTATCAAAATACTACTCAACAGTAATTTAAGTTAATTTTCAGAGCTGTTCTCTATTGTTATTACCCTGAACTATGAGCTGTTTTTTTTATTCATTGGCAACATTTTATAGCACAAATGGTACAAAGCTAATATCTTGCCTGAATTTAGAGACACTCTTTACTTGTGAAAATTATTAAATGAAATATTAGCTTGGGCCTAAAATAAGATCAAATATGGATTGCCAAAGATGACTATTACCAGAATAATACGTCGATAAATCTCCAAAAAATTATTTCTACTTGACATTCTATAGACTTTCGAAAGCAGAAGTTATTATTTGAACTGTTGTTGGATTCATATTATTGGATAACGCGTTCACGGATGACACGGAAGATGTATACGTTCACGGATGTTCTAAGTGAGATACGTTGACGGATGTTCTAAGTGAGGAGACCTTCTCTAAATTTTTTATTATTATCATCAAACTGCTGTTTTCTTGTGTTTTCCTATATAAATGAAACCAAAAAAAAATCGCTGTTAATGCATTGCATTATGTATATTTACTTTTACCATTCGTATCTCTTCTCTCAGGCATCAAGGTTTTTTGGCATTCAAGTCACGGGTCTGTTCTCAAAAACCCCAGCAAAAGACCATACTGATTTTACAGGTGCTAAAAAATACAGTAAACATATGTTAATAGACTTTAAATATGTATATATCGTTCGAAGAACTATTGAGTAAAGTAATAGTATTTTTCCTTCTTAAAATTATTAAATACCTAAATATTAATATTACTTCTTATTTAAATATTTTTTTCATCATCCATCAAAATTTTAACTTAAACCAGTATGGCAATTATATATAAACTTAAAGCAACCGCAAAAAGTTAAAAATTACCACAAAAAAAATTACATTTAAGTTAAGAACTTTTTTCTGCATTTTTTGCGTACTAACTGAGTGTAAAAAATAATGTATTAACCATGCAAATGTTATTACCATATATACTTGACTTTTTTTGAGCTTTCGTGCAGCGAAAGAAAAATAAAAGAATTTTATTTTCTTTCTTTCTTTATTTATTTATCCATTTGCTATACAATGAGAAATATTAAAATATAGTATGTCCATGGAAAATAGCTGAAATGCTTATGAATTCGCATTCAATCGGACTGAGGAAATTCGGACTTTTTAAACTTTATTTTTTACTTCCATTGCTTTTGATTTTTTTCGAATCTATAGATTGCATAAATCAGATTTTCTTTCTATGAGATTATATGGAATGAAACTCTTTACAATGTGGCATGAAAATTTTTAATGTCTTGATGTTTTATTTTTTCACAGCATCAAAAGTTTATCTTCTCTATTTTTTAAAAAAAAATCTTGTAAAGCTTAGAAATACAAGCACAAATATACGATTCTTGAGCTATATTTTTGAAAATATGATTATCTCTAAGGTTTGATAAACTCATAATACGAATTAGATGTCTAGCTTCTGGGATATCAATGGAACGAGGTTGAAAAATAGGATTTCATAGAAAATGTAATTGTAGTTTCAAATTGCTATGCACTACATGTAACACAACTTTGCAACACCTTCAAGAGTCTGAAATTTGCAAAATTATCTACATTGAAAGTTTTTAAAAAGTAGCAAAAAGTCGTAGATTTTTAAGCGTTAACAAGTTTAAAAGCAAAATAGATTTTTAATATTTTTTTAAAATTTTATAAGCTGAGTTCTTATGTTTATGTTTTCGTTTTGAACTACGTTAGGGGCTTTTCCAAACTCCTTTTTGAAAATATTAAAACCGTTAAACAATGTGACTGTTGTCAAAGATTAAATATAGTTTTGAATCAAATTTCTAATGCAAATTTTTTTTAATAAATTTGTCTGATATTTTTCTCTTTTCTCGTCTCGCAATAATCCTCTGAGAAATTACTTATATTAACAGATTTATACACAACTGTATCCTTTCTTGCTTCCGTGTCTTATTTATCTAACTACAAACAACAGACTACGTAAAAACAATCAATAAAAATAGTCTGAGAATAAATAGTTCTGAGAGTATATCTCAAAGCATTTGGCTATTAATTTTTCAGACGGCAAAAAATATAAATCTTTGGAAATTCTGATAATTTTTTGTCACTTATTTGATGAAAAAAAAAAGTTCATTGCAATATTAAACAAAGCAAAATGTAGTATTATGCTGTTGTTAGTAAAAGTTCTGTATTTTAAATTTAAAATAAATAAAAATATTTCTTACTTTGAAAGTGAGACAGTTCTTAACGTTAAAACATTTCTTAAATTTTGAGTGCTGCGGGTGCACGAATTTTTAAAAATCTCAATTATGTAAATGTTAAATTTTTTGTTTTAAAACTTTTTTTTCCTCTTTCTTAGAATGGCTCGCATCTTTAGATCCTCGAAAGCAGATGAGCCTTCAAGAGGATAGGCGACCAAGTGTCTTGATTACGTCCCCAACATCTCCAGAAAGTATTCCACTAAGACCTCACCTTTCTTCCGTTGGTGGAAGGATACTGGTAACATTTTAAACATTATCGTTTATTACTCAACAGATCTTAAAATTTTTGCTATTAATCTAAAAACAGTTTTTAATTCTGGATAAAAAGAAAAAAAAGATGGCCCGATATTCTATAGTGGCAGCTAAGTTCATAACAGTCATAAATATGCAGGCCATAAAGACGAGTATTCCATAGTTCCAAGTTCCATAAAGACGGCTATTAAAATATCTTTTTTAAAATCCTTTAAAAACCGGAAACAAAAAAGCATGCGCATTGCGAGTCCCAAACTAATATTTAAGCGAAGAGGGAAGCAAAAACTGTATCGAAATCTGACAAATCACATTATAGGAAGGCGAATGTTATAAACAGCAAGACTGAACAGCGATGGCTTCGGGGATAGAGCTTTCGCTTTCCAATGAGGTGAACCGGGTTCGAATCCCAGCAATGGCTGGTCGATACGTATTCTGCAGCGGCTTGCACCGACCACAGTGCTGACGGGAAATATCCTCAGTAGTAGACGGACCATGGGTTAGAGTCCAAATTGTCGTCAGACTAACCATGGGAGGTTCTCGTGATCTTCCTCTCCGTGTAACGTAAATGCGGGCTAATTCCATCAAAAAGTTCACCACGAAGGCAAATTTCTCCCAATACTTGATCCACGAGTTCCCTTGTCTTCTGGATTGTTTAAAATTACAAGGCTACGGAGTTGAACATTGGTATTTGTAAACCCAAATTTGGCTCGGATGTGTTCAACGACGGTTATGAAATAAAATAAAAAACAGCAAGACAAGTTTGATTGCTGGAGGAAACAGTGAGGAGTTGAAAGGCGATTGTTAAAAACACCTTCAAGTTTCAACCTTCGATTAAATTTCCTTTTGATTTTAATTACATCTGTCTTCCTGTTCTTGATTTGTCAGATTTCGTTGGTATTTTTGTTTTTTACCGGTTAAAATATTAATTTACAACATCTAAAGTGTATTTAATTTAATAAAAGTTTTTAAATACGCATTAGACGGTAATTTTTACGGAACACCTTTATAAATAAATGTTAGGCTATGTTTCATCTATATCTATCCAGCATCCTCTTGCTGATTGTAAAAAAGATGCGAAATGTAAAAAGTCAAGTGCTGAGAAAAAAGTATGGTCAAAACTACTAGACTATGGTATAATTTAAGTTTAAAGTTTAAGCTACAAAGAAAGTTTATGTTTTATTAAATTTTAAGTTATGATATCATTTTCTGGTTCTATAGGAACACCGTGAAGTACGGTAAATTTTACCATAGCGCTCAGGTAAAGACATTTGTTAAAATTACCAATACATTTTTTTTTATATCAGGCACTTTGATAGTAGATTTGGTAAATTTAAAAATAACCTATTAAGTAGCAACTTTGGTAAATTTACTAATCATTATATGACACCCTTCATCACTTGAGAGATCCACACGTTTTCCCGTTGCGCCAGTAAGTATAATTTCAGTGACAACAATCTTTATTTTCATGAATAAATAAAAAGATAAAAAGCATTTTACTTTTCAGCATTTATTTTTACAAAGTTTGTGGATAGAAATACTTTGATTTTGAAAACCGAAATTTCTATTACCACAGCTAGCAAAAAAATATCAAATAAATTTTAAAAATTCCGAAAGTTTTGATACAAATTTACAAAATTCATATATTTTTCCCTTTTCTTTAATCAGAAATGTCCTTACTATGTACAAATACTTTTCTTGACAGTATTTTGTTCTCAGTGCGGTTTTTCGAAAACTAAAAGCGTCTGTGATTTTCTTTTACTTGAAAAGACACTCCACCATTGCATTCCTTAGGCAGATGCAAAAATTTAAAACAATTTATTAATTTTCTTCAAAGTGGGAAGATTTCATCAATATGGCAATTTTTCATTTAAAGATTAATAATTCTTTAAATAATAAAAATATTTATTTGGTTTATAATCCCATCAATTCTTTTTAGAAAGGCAGTACACAAAGGTTAAAATTCAAGTTTTAAGGCGCTTAAGCAGCCTTTTTATTTTCCTTCAGTCAAAGGACTTTAAATATTTCTAATAGTAAAACAGTTTAACAGTAAAAAAGTTTAAATATTTCTAAAACCATACAATAAAACATACTGTATTAAATATATTACAATAATTAATTCTTTTTTAAGGTGAAGAATGAAAATGTTTCAAACTCTATAGAGATGAAACTGTGGTATGATGTACGTCGTTTACAGTTAGTAGTGGAGATCTTAAGCGCTAACTTACAAAAAGGACCACATTCTAGAAAAAGAAACGCATATTTAAAATTATATCTACTGCCAGACAAAAGGTATGTTTCATTCTTTTAAAATCTGTTACCATTTCGGTTTTACCTTCTGAAACCTAATATATTAGATCAATGGTTTTATATTTTTTTCGGCTACGAAACCCTAAATAATCAACCTTCTTTCGATGAAACCCCGACTTCTTAAATAAAGTTTATTAACATAAATATAAACGTTATAACCTATAGATGACTATTTTTAAAATATTTAATTAAACGAGTGAAGATTTTTCCTTGTTTTACCATTTATAATTTAAAACTAGGTTTTTATATCCGACAGTTAAATTTGTAGTCCTTGTGCTCTGTCACGTCTAATTATGAATTTGTCTATGGTGTATAAATGTAGATCAGCTGAAAATGAATAAAATAATCCGAATTATGGTTTACTTCGAAAGGAAAACTTAAAAGAACTGCTATAAACGTTTAAAATGTTTATTAGAGTGTCATATTTACTTATTTTATTCTAATTTAGTTAGTTTATTTTGATTTGAAAATCTCGATAGGAAAATACTAATGTATTATTTCATAAATGCTTGTTCTTTTCATAAGTTGTTCAATATATTATTATACGTATCTTATACTCTCTTATACGTATATATATATTTATATATATACAATAAAAAGTTAACCAAAAACTGTAAAAAGTTTTTAGTAACTTTCTCTGTTTATAAAAATATCTTACAGTATAAAATAAGTTTAAATTTAAAAGTCTATAATCTTATTGTATACTTATTTTTTATAGAGAGAAAAGACGTTCCAGAACAGTTTTAGATTCTCTTTGTCCAAAATGGAATCAAACATTTATTTTTCCTAGTTTAAGAAGAACAGAACTGCAGTCTCGGACATTACATATTATATGTTGGGATTACGATGAAATTGGGGACAACGACTTCATTGGAGAAGTAAGACAATTTTATTTTCTAATAAACAACATGCACAATAGAGTGACCCCCCAAAAAATTGACACTAATGAAAACTTATTAATCTTTTTGTCTAATGATTCAATGATTTTTAAGACACATATAATAAATAAAAACACACATTGTTAAATTAACTACTTGCACTGTCGAGAATTCTCAGATGCATTTACCAAAACAGTTCACTGCACTTACTGCGAGGCATTAAGTGTTAGATAATAAATAAAAATCGAAATTCTATTTCTGAGATATGAATCACAGGCGTCCTTTTTCTTTTTTGTGATAACTGCCTTACGACCTGTACAGCACGTCCTTTGATATATA